CTTCCCCAGTTAAGAGAAAACTGATTATTCAGGAACTTGCCCCTCAGGAAAGTGATCCCCGCTTCAGATCAGTAGCAAATCCTGACCATTCTAAAGCGTCATCTAATTTCTCTTGCTGGCAGTTCAGGGGTGGATATGTGACCGTCTGTTCAGTAAGATGTGAAGAGAACCATGCTTTCTTTGAAAAATAAGCACACAGGAAGAGGCATCCTCTTCCTCTACCGGACATTGTCATACCTGTATGTGATGCCTGGGGCTGTGGTAGCATCTTGTGACCATGATAGGAACCAGCCTGAGAATTAGGCAATGAAGGACACCGAAGATGCAGTGAAGAAAGGCGAAGGAACCTGGGTTGTTGATGATGTCTTTGACCCATCAGTTAATTAATCCTGGAACCTGGAATTAAATCTAGGTACTTCTAGATTTCTTATGTGACCTAATATCCTCATGGATTAAGCCACTGAATGGGGGTTTTCAATTTCTTACAGCCAAAAACCATCCTGTCCTTTCTTTCCTTCCCACACACAGGGCTATCTTCTTTTCACCCTCCTCCCCACGCCCCCACCAATTGCCTGCCTGGAAAACTCTCACTTGAAGACAAAGATGAATTGTCATCTCCTCTATGACAGGGAGGACTGAAATGTCATTGGATCTTGTATTTATTTCCACCTAATGCCCCAGTTGACTACAGGATCCTTGGGGGAATGTTTTTTATATTTCTACTGCAGATGTTTGTGGACTAAATTAATGAATAGATGGGAAAGATTATTTTATATCTTGGTTCAGTTTTGGGCTCCTGCAAGATTTTTCTTGCAATGTCCAATGACAGTTCTTACAAAAGAAACAATTGTTTACAAGAATGCCAATAAACTTGGATGAATTCATTACCCAGCACCTCAGATCTTATACCAGGTGCCTATTAACCTACTTAGGGATGCAGAGGAGTTAGAAGTAGAAAATGTGAATAGATTCAGAGAGGATGGACTAAAATAAAACTGTTCTGGGAATTCATTTATGAAAGGCATTGAGAGTAACAAAAAGGTGTCAGTCAGTGTAACCTTCAGGAAAGTCTGAGCACTTTGGTTCTAAGAACTGTAACTGCTCAGAGTGATTTATTTTCCTCCAGAAAGTAACTTCCATTGGATGTTCCTAGAGATTTCATTATAAAAAGGCAAAAATTTTTGAGAATAACTCCAAGGTGGTATTGGATGTGCACTTAAAGTATCAAGAAATGTTAGACGACAACGTTACCAACTCTCATAAAAATCCTACCACTCTATGTCAGCACTGTTCAGCAAAACTTTCTGCAATAATGGAAATGTTCTACATCTGCGTTGTGCACTATGGTAGCCACTAGCCGCATGTGGCTATGGAGGCCTTGAAATGTGGTTAGTGTGACTGAGGAACTAAATTTGATCTTGAGTAAATTTAAATATAAATAGTCACATGTAGGTAGTAACTTCCATGTTGGACGGTGACCAACATGTTTTATGTGACCTAGAATAGTCAGGATAGGCTAGGTTACACTGCAGTAACAAATAATCTCCAAATATTAATGGATTAAAACAAAGTTTTATTTCTCTTTCTCACTATATATTCATTATACATCATCTGGGGACTCCGTTCTACATCCTTTCATTCTGGGACCATCTTGAATGCTGCTGGTCACTGTAACAGAGGGAAAAATGAAGAGAGATCTGGAGGGTGTTGCACTGGCAATCAAATAAATGCTTGATTCAGAAGTGATACATTTCACTTCCACTCACAATTCATTGGCTAGCGCTAATCATACAGCCCTATTCATCCACCAGAGAGCCAGGAAGTGTCATCCAATTATGGAGTCTGGGAGACAGAAATACTAGGTGAGTAGCACTAGTGACTGAAAAAGTAAGCATTATTAAATAACTAATACATCTAATTGAACAAAAATAACTCATGTTTTTTAAAGTCAGGTATATGCCTATAGAAAGGAATCAAAAAAAACATGGGAGGAAAAAAATATGCACAAACAGGAATGCTCCTTTGATAGAATCAAGGAAGAAACGAAGATTAGAATAATGTTTTGGTGTTTCATACATAATTTTTATTAAGCTTTTGAATAGGCAAATCCATTCATTAAAGGAGAAAAAGAAGGAAACACAAGCATGATTTATCTTCCATTATAATTAAAGAGAATAATTTTGTCAATTTTTACTTTTTAAAAAATCCTTTAAAAAAACCCCAAAACGAGCCTACCTGTTCTTACAACAATAGGATCTTACTATAATTCCAAGTATAGTCGCTCCACAGCTCTTCAAAAGCCCTTATTAGACATCTTTGAATTAGATGGGACCTTAGGGGTCAGCTATTCTAATTTCCAATATGGGAATCCCTCCTACAGCTTTCTATCTCTTTTGGGGCAAAAAGGAAGTCCACTACTGCTGTGGGAGCTCATTTCATTGGTGGACAGGTGAAATTTTTGGAGAACTCTTCCACTGTATCAAAAATACCATCTCTGAGCTTTCAATGTACGTATTTGTCCCGGCTCCACAGCCACCCAGCAGAAAGCCAGCCCCTTTGCTCCATGAGAACCCTCAATTCCTTGAAGGGAATTTCTCTGCCCCTGGGTTTTCCCTTTTTGGAGTATTCCTTCTTGTGCCCTGGTCTCTGTACCCTCTGTTCTCCTAGCAGCCCTCCTTGGAGCGTGCAGCCCAGACTTTGGGGACAGAGTCTGAGCATCAAATCCTAGATGCTTAAATTAAGTTCTGTGTTCTTCTCTGCAAGGCGGGGAGTAATTACACCCGCCTCTTACTTGTTAAGAGGATTAAACAGGGTTAAATCTGTAAACTAATAGATGCACAATAAATATTTACTTCAATATGATGTTTCTTTTAAAGTGTGATGGGTAGAGTGAAATTTAACAATAATTTAGATGTGATCTGACTAATTCCCTTCTCTGGGACACCCTCTTATTCCTTCATTTATATCAACCACAAGTATTAGCATTATCTTTTGTGGGCAGCCAGACATACTATTAATTCATATTATAGTTAAAAGTGCCAACTTCCACTAAGCCTTACTTAACTTGTTGACATTTTAAGCCTAAAGTGTAAGAAATTAAACCAGATGAAATTTGATAGGAATGTATTGGCTGTTGCTCATCAGCTTTTTTTATTTTCTGGGTTTTTTTCTTTTGGTTTGGTTTTAATAGACTTTATTTTTCAGAGCATTTTTTTTTTTTTTTTTTTTTGTGGTATGCGGGCCTCTCACTGCTGTGGCCTCTCCCGTTGCAGAGCACAGGCTCCGGATGCGCAGGCTCAGCGGCCATGGCTCACGGGCCCAGCCGCTCCACGGCAGGTGGGATCTTCCCGGACCGGGGCACGAACCGGTGTCCCCTACATCGGCAGGCGGACTCTCAACCACTGCGCCACCAGGGAAGCCCTCAGAGCAATTTCAGGTTCACAGCAATATTCAGCAGAAGGTACAGAGAGCTCCCATACACCCCTCCCCCCAACATGCACAGCCTGCCCCATTACCAACGCCCTCCACAGAGCGCTACGTTTGTTACACTGTATGAACACACGTTGACTCATCATTATCATCCAAAGTCCGTTTTACATTAGGATTCATTCTTGGTGTTGTATATTCCATGGGTTTGGACAAATTTTTGATGAATGACGTATATCTGTATCCACCATTATAGTATCATACATAGTTACCCTGTCCTGAAAATCCTCTGTGCACCATCTATTCAACATTCCCTCCCTCCGCTAGCAACCACGATCTTTTTACTGTCCCTATAGTTTTGCCTTTTCCAGAATGTCAAATAGTTGTAACGATGTAGTATATGACTTTCAGATCGGCTTCTTTCACTTAGTAATATTCATTTAGGGTTCCTCCACGTCTTTTCATGGCTTGATCGCTCCATTTCTTTTTACTGTTGAATAATATTCTATTGTCTGGATGTACCACAGTCTATTTATCCACTTATCTACAAAAGGACACCTTGGTTGTTTTAAAGTTTTGGCGATTATGAATAAAGCTGCTATTAACATCTGTGTGCAGGTTTTTGTGTAGACATAACTTTTCAACTCCTTTGGGTAAATACAAAGGAGCATGATTGCTGGATCTATGGTAAGAGTATGCTTAGTTTTGTAAAAGACTGGCAAGCGGTCTTCTAAAGTGGCTGCGCCCTTTTGCACTTCCACCTACAATGAGAGTTCCTGTTGCTCCACATCCCTGGCAGCATTTGGTGCTGTCAGTGTTCTGGAATTTGACCATTCTAATAGGTGTGTAATGCTACACATTAGCCCTTAGCAAGATCTCAGGCTTTTGAATCATGATCCAATGCTAAATGTCAGCTGCCTCTTCAAGAGTTGTGTATTCTACAGATTTGATAGGTATGTGATTACTGGAAAGATCATAGACATTGGAGACTGCCAGACCTCAGGTGTGTACCTTACCTCTGCTGTCCTACCACAAAGGAGTTAGTTAACTTCTCTGAGCCTCAGTTTCCTCTTTTGTAAAATGGAAGTAATAAATGAGTAATAACAGTACTTACTTTAATGAGTTATATGAATAAACTGTGTGCCTTCTCCAGTTTTATTCAAGTGACTAATAATAAAAACATTTGACCAGAATAGGACTTAGGGCTGAAACTTGTACCACACCACTGCTGGCCTTTCTCCAGTAAGGCCACTGTTCTTTGAGCACATATATCTGCCTCATCATCCAGCCCACACAGCTTCATCTTTCAGGTATATCTGGACAGGCTTTGTCAAATGCCTTACTAAAATCAAATACTCAGTAAGGTAGATTTCTTTGGACCATCTGTGTACACTTTTCCTCCTTCCATCTCAGACTCTGAGAGCATAGGTACTATTTTTAAATTCTCTCTTAATTAGTTCCTCCTTGTTCTTCTAAAGGCTATATAGCAGTCTCTGGTTTCTAGGCTACTACATTTCCTGAGTAGATCATCCCCAGATGAAGTAATTTGAGTTTCCCCAGCTTCTTTTAGAAGGACCCATTGTAGAAAATGAAATACATGTTAGCCGAGACAGATCTCTCATTTTATTTGAGGCTTATGTGTGTGCACACAAGCATGTGTATCTCATGGTGCAACAGGACTTGAATTACAACTTTGGAACTCTTTGCTCTTATCTATCTATTCAGTATCTCTGCCATCAAGTCAGAGCTGAGATTACTCATCACTTTTGCTGTCATCACAGACAATTAGGATTCAGTAGAAGGAGACAGCCTGAAATTTAATTCTAACCAGCAGCTCAATCCAAACTCCCAAAATCTGGCTGGGATGGGGTGGTAATGTGTTTTGACAATCCAGTTAGTGAAGGAAGAAGCGCCCCCTAGGAAATCATAACAAAGAGTCTTAAGCAAGACTCCTTTCGTTGACAACTTTATCCAAGAAACCACCTTCCCTGTAGACTTTTCTAAACTTTAGACTAATCCTCTCCTTGCCACAGAAGTCCTTTTGTTGCGGGAAATTGTAAGTGACCACAGGAGTGACAGGCCTCTGCAAGCACCAGCTCTGTCTCCAAAGTCTTTCAATTGTTGTCTCCCGTCTGTCCTGTTCTCCTTCTGGCCCAAGGATCACTCTATCAAATAACGAAATGAATGAAATTATTCAGAAGTTCTCTTCTCAGATGATTTCAATCTATGTCTAATTTTTGAGCCAATCACTGTTAAATTCTAGGCAAATGACAGCATCAATAACCTTTCATTGCTTTTTCCTCAAGTATTATGCACTGTTGCCTTGGACATCATATTTAAAATATTCCACATCACAGGTGGTGGTATAAAACCCTTGGTCCAGTGTGGAGTTAGATTTGAAGCTTCTTAGTAAGTGGAAGCAAATTAAAACGGAAACAGCAATACAGGTAGTCCTGGAAGTGAATGAAGAATAAAAAAAATCAGAATCATGAATAACAGATTGAGTAAGGAAAACTGTTAAATATTATTGCAAAGTTATTGATGGAATTATATATAAATACAGATGGATAGATAGATAGAAAAGGTGATAATAAATTTTACCAGAGGCAGCATCTTACCCCTGGTAATCAAAATCTATCTCCAAATGTACAAATTATCGTTATACCTCACCACACCCTAACTATTCAAAACACACCAAGCTTTGAAATAATATGTGTAAAGTGCCTGGCACATGGTATATATCCAGTAAATTTTAGTTCCATTTCTCTGTTGTAGACATTAGCATACAGTTTTTCCATACCTGAAACTGACATTCTGAGGATCTTTTAAGAGTCTTAATTTTCAGGCATTGCTGCTAGTTATAAGTCCTAATATCCCAATTTACATTTTGAATCTCCTGAAAAGTGAATATTTTAACATAAATTCAATTTAGTGGAAAAGATTTACAGGCCCCAAGTGTCCATGTGATTACCACTTTTAGTCCCTAACTCCAGCACTCCCAGATTTTGCTGATCCCAAGCCGTTTATTAAACAGTTTAATTGCTCCAGCTTCTCCCTGTTGTGGTTCATCTCCTGTGGGTTTTATCTCCTTACATTAGTACCAAGGGCCCAGGGACATCGGGAGATTACTCCAGTGCACATTCCGCCTGCCCCCTCCCTTCCTCAACGGCTGACACAGACGCCAAGTTTGTCACGCTGCTTTTAATTGATTTTCTATTGTGACCAATTTACATCTACAGGTAATGAATGATTCTTTGCGGAAACTGACTGTAGTTCAGAGAGGCGGGGTAAGCTCCCTACCTCCTGGCGGCTTTAGTAAAACAAAATAACAATAGAAATAATTGTTATGTCTTACGGGGCACCACCATCTGAGACCATTTCCATCAATGTCTTTGATAATTTTATGAAGGGCAAATCCTAAAGTATACCCTGTTCTCATAACTGGTGGGTTTAAAATGGCATAATTACACAGTAAAATTTCTGCTCTAGAAAATATTTTACTTGGGAAATACCATGTTATGATTGTATTGCCCATTGTAATACCAATTTTATATCGTCAAAATATAAACTTCAGTATTTCATAAAATGCTCTGACGAAGAGCTATAATTCTAAACTTCCCTGATCTTTCCAAATTTCTAAATACAATGATCTTAGAAGATCCAAAAGGCAGACGTTCTTGATGCGTATATGCCTTTAACAGAGAAACTGGCAAAGAGCTGAATTCTGCCATGTGAATGACGTCGGGGCAGGGGTGGTGCAGGGAGTATGCCAGTCATTACCATCTAGGCCCCAAAAATTCTGTTAGGAAGCACGGCAAGCTGTGGTTGCCAGATGCGTGGCCAAATCATAGGTTAATGACTGTGGACTGGGATATGGCCAGGGTCACTTACAGGGCTGGCTGGCTGGCTGTGTGTATGGGTCTCACCTTGATTCCTCTATCTAGATTGCTGTCCCCTCTACCCACCACGGAAGGCCCAGGATGAGTGCTCTTGTAAGATCTAGGGATGTCTATACTATGGTGGCTTTTGGAGTTGTCCCACCTGGCTTTCTGTGCCTACCAGCAGAACTCTTTAGGATATGGTAGCTTTGCGGAAATCCTCTACAGCGCCCCTTCCTCTTCAAGATTACCTTGGAAGGCTGGGTTGCCCTGGGCTGATGGAGGAGACTGCTGAGGGCAGCTGAGTCTGTGACATTTGTGGATGGGTCCTCCCTCCCTATCAGGTCCTCATGGTTCCCAGAGCCCACCCTGGAGAGGACTCCCTGTAAGCAATGGTGCAAAAAGGTGTAGCCTAAGAAGCCTGTAGCAGTGATGACTGGACACTCGTAGGCCTCCGAAACCACCTCCTGGGTGGTGCTGGACTGAGCCAGGTCTGCTCTGGCACCTGCGGGCAGGCTAGGTGGTAATTTGCATTTGCAGTACTATGGTGACCAACCGTCCTGGTTTACCCGGGACTGTGTCACTTTTGGCACTGAACATCCCACATCCCGGGACACCCCTTGGTCTCGAGCAGGTGGGGACAGTTGGTCATCCTGACCTCTGATTTTGTCCTATCAGCTGACAGCGAGAACTACGTAGTTAAGGGAATTTAACATGTCAGTGGAGTCCTGTATTCCAATGTGTCAGCTCAAGGCCTTACAGTGACGTGTAAGGGTTGTCTCAGGAGTCCTATCAGTCCCCTGGCGGTGGGAGCTGATGCACACCGCCATCCTCCTTTCACAGCCTGTGAGGCCTAGGCCTCTGTGCCCAGAGTGGGAATGAAGAGCCGGGCCCAGGACAGAGGTGCTCTGAGCCCACGAACCAGGTCTTCACTGGACAGTGGTTGATTTTCAGTTCCATCCATAAGGAGCCACACAGTTGTAACCACTTACCTGGAAAATCTTGGTGATCTCGCCCTTTCTTTTCACCAGCATTTGCTAAACCCAGCTAGGTGGTGACCTTTCCGGTAGGAGGCCAAAAGGTCACACATTTCTGGCTTTAGCCTCACTCCTGAAACTGTAAATAAAGACTCCACTGTAGGGAAGAAAAGAGAAAAGCACCAACATATTATTTCCTGGGATCTTTCACGGTGTATTTTTTATGTCTGTTGTAATATTTGTCACCCGAAGAGACATCAAAATGTAAGCCAGACTCATACATCAATAATTTATACTGACTCATGGATAACTCACTTTACTGAATAGCTGTCAAGTGCCTCCTATTCAATTCACTTCAATTCAATTCACTTCAATGCATATTTACCAAATGAACACTTGGGTAAAGGCACCTTGGTGCTGAAGGTGGTCAAAACAGGAGTAGAACTGGAAGCCACACACACACTAACAAGGGCCAAAATCAAGCCAAGGAGTCTGGACACGAGTCCCAGTGGTGACAGGCAGTGAGCATGGTGCTGGGCTAGATAATGTTTTGGAAAGTTTCAAATTTCTGTTACATTAGATACATTTGGCAATCCATTTAAATAGACTCTAAGGTGCAACTTTTGTAGATTAAAACATGTTTTTGAAATATATGTATATTACCTATGCCCTCAGACTCATGTATTTGGTTAGCTCAGAATGCTGACGGTTTGCATTTTTATAAATGCCTGTGTTTGTTAAATGTGTGTTGTCCCTGGGTGCTTTACTATGCTAAACTTATGGGCCACGTCCACTAAAAGTTAACATTTTAAGGGGCTCATCTGCAAAATGGGGATAAGAAAACTTGCGGGCAGATTGCTCTCAGCTTAGAGAAGATAATGCGTGCCAAACGTCTTGGGTTGCTCTGATACACCATATATCTTTAATAACCAGTAGCCATTGTTACAAGCATTAGCACAGATACCATCTGAGAAAAACATCCGGGGCAACAGCCACATCGTCACCAAAGCACATCCACAAAACCTGCTCAGGACATCCTTCCACTTGGGCACTGCTTTTCCAAGGCTCACAAGCTGCACAAACTGGGTTGCTCTAAATACCACACAGTTTCACAAAAAAGAGAAGCTCCAGCTTTGGTGCACCGAAAGCATAAAATGCCGTAATAATATTGTTTGCTGGAAGCTATTCACACCCAAAGGGAAGAAATAAACCTGCAATGCTGACTCTGTCTTGGCTACCTTGGGTAAGCTGTGGCCCTGACTCCTTCGGTTTGGAGTTACATATTTGCTAGACTGGAAAGGGGAGACCTCAAGTCTTGTTGATATGCATAATGTATTTTCCCAGGTACATCATAACGCACAATTTTGTAGTCTACTTTCTTTTAGCTCAGGTCATAGTGTAAACAGTCAAAGAGTTCAAATAAACCGTGCATATTAAACTTTACAGATTACTCTCAAATCGACTCAAGTCCAAACCATTCTGGGAACGTCTCTCAGGAAGAAGTGTCCTCTTACCTTGGGGACAGTGGCATGAAGATGTCCCTCAAAAGCAATAGTTCCTCAATAGCAATGAAGGAGGCGGGGGGCGGGGGGAGACGGAGAGAGAGAGGGAGAGAGCAAAAAAGAGTGAGAGAGGGAGGGAGAGAAAGAGACAAAGACAGAGAGAGGGAGAGAGGGAGAGAGAGAGAGGAAGAAAAAGAGAGACGGGGGTGGGGGGGGGGGGGGGGTGTGTGTGTGTGTGTGTGTGTGTGTGTGTGTGTGTGAGAGAGAGAGAGAGAGAGAGAGAGAGAGAGAGAGAGAAACATGTGGCAGAACAGTGCTGGGAAAGCAACCAGTTAATCAAAGGGATTTCAATTTGGCCATGGACTGCCCGACTCTCCTTCCCAACTCACAGAAAAAGAAAAAGAAAACAAGAGGAAAAAAAAGAAAGAAGGAAAAAAGCAGCCGAGTGGTTCTCCTGCAGCATCTCACAAATGCAAAACCCTCCATTTGCTGACTCCTCATTAGCTTTCTGAATCTGACAGCATAATTACTGCAGCTGCTTTGCGCTTAGAATAAATAAATACAAAAGTGGGTGTTTAAAAACTTTTTGAGAAGGGAAATTCAGTCATCTAGACAGTCAGTAGGACAAGTTTATTTAAAACTTTGAGATTCTTATGTATTTAGATCATTTCGGAATGAGATAATGAGATAGTTGTCTTTCAGTCTAATTGAGTTCCTAAGCTCCTGGCTGTTGGCTGTCACCGCTTTCAAACTTTGCTTTAACTTTCCTTCCTTTAGAAATCCGATCCTGGTGTCTCCATTTACTCTTCCTGGGCTGATAACCTGCTGAAGTCTCAGTGCACTGGAGTGCAGAAAGTGACTTAATGGCATTGAGGAGCTAAATAACCTTTCACAGGAAACAAGACAATCAAATCTCTTCTACTTGCCTGTAATGGCTGAAAGAGAAAGCACAAGTTGAAAAGAAAGCTTGGAAATTAAACCATCATTTCAAAATGTCTTGTAATTTTCCTTGTCACGTGGTTTTCGTGCTACTCTTGCACATCATCAATCCATCAGCTGGAGTTGCTTAGTGCATTTAATTATTCATAGTGCACACAGCCTCCGTGACTGAGCGGTAATTTTAGCTCATGTGTGTGTATATAGGCTTCATATCTTCAAAGCCCAAAGGATCGCACAGTACTTTAAATTGAAGTTGCTAACTAACATGGAGTGCACTTAAAACTCCGACCAGGGGCACAGCACACATGCACTTCCGATTAAAGCAGAAGATCTTTCCGTTTAAAATTAATTAGTGCCTATTTATCTCTTCCTCTCCCTCCCTCCTCTCATTCTCCCAGGAGGGCATTTATGTGAACCCTTGAAATCAGTGAGTTAAAAGCTTTATAAAATAAATATTCTGTCAATCTGGGGTGCAGGAAACTAGTGTTAACCCATTGTGCAGATTGAGAAATTGAGGTTTATGAGGGCCAACAATGCATGTGATGCTGGGGGAAAAAAGAAGAAAACTCAAGTTTTTAAACTCTCAATCCAGAGCTTGAACTCCCTGTACCATTTGTCTTACTTTATTCCTTTAAACAATAAAGGCAATATAACATCAACATGAAAGAAAACTTTGAAAAAAGGAAAAAAATTACCCTCAACTAGAAGAGCATTTTTATTTTTGTACTCTACTTTCCAGTTTTGTTGATATGCATAATACATTTTCACAGGTGCATTATAATATGGAATTTTGTATCCTTTCTTTTAGCTTGTGTCATAAGGTAAACATTTCCATACTACCCCACACTCCTGTGAATTATCGTTTTAAATGGTTACGTAGTACTGTATGCTGGGTCAATATAACAATATTTATCTAATCAGTTCTCTTGTGTTGAATATTTAGAGTTTATCTTTCAGAATTAAAAAAAATTATAGACAACACCACAATGAACATTTCTATGCATCTAGGGTTTGGTTTTTTTTTTTCTTTCTTTTCTGTTCAATTGTTCCTTTGGATAATTTCCAGGAACCAAAGCATAGGGTTGAATGTTGTTAGCATTTTTATGGCTCCTTATAGGCATGGCAAAATGCTTTGCAAAGGTTGCCCCAACTTACACGACCATCTGCAGAGAATCGTTTTACCACAATCTTCCCAGCACTGGGAGTTAGGAGTCATTAAGTTGAGGGAAAAAAATAACTACTTTAACAGTTATTTGTATTTATTTAATCACTAGTTAGACTGCCTATTTATCCCACGTGTTGGTATGTTTTTTTTCATTTCCTTTGTGTAAATTGCTATTTTGTGCCTTTACCCAATTTTCCATTGGATCCTGATATTTTTCTTACAAAACTGAATAAGTAATAGTAAGGGAAAAACAATAACCAGCACTGATTGAGAAACCTTAAAATCCAAGGGTGACTGTGTTACAAACAAAAAACAAAAAAAAAGAAAAAGAAAGAACAAACTAAGACCAGATGACATTAAGGATTAAGGAAGAGGTCAGGGGCTTGAGTCTTTATTAAACATAAAATTGAGCCCTCTTAATTGTGAGATATTGAACATGTTACCTGGGAACATGTGACATATTTCCTGGGAAGGCTTTAAAATAAACATAGAGCACGACGAGAGAGTGCAAAGGTCACAGGGCTGGGAGTCAAGATCTTGGTTCTAATCCTGGTTGTGTTACAGTACTAAATTTCCCTGTGATCTTTAGCAAGCAGTGATGAGAAGTGGAAGACAGTGGCTTGGGAGTCTGATTTACAGTCAGATTTTGCCTCTACCACTTACTAGCTGTATGACTTTGAGCAATTAGCCTCCCTCAGCCCCAGTTTTCTAATATGTAATATGAGGATAATAACTCCAGATTTGAGAGTTAGTATCTAGATTGAATGAGAATTTATGTAAAACACATGGACGCCCAATAAATGGCAGCCGCTATTCCTCTTCTCTGGGTGTTAGGGACTCATCTATATAACGAACACATGGAATAATGAGTCCCAAGATCCTTTTCTTGTCAAAGGGTCTCTAACTCTTTCCTGAAGCATTTGTCTTTATTTGGAGATTCTTTCAGTCCACGATGCTAACACATTTAACCAACTTAAGCAGTTGGTAGAGCTGAGGGACTTCGTTTACCCAGACTTTTCCTACCAATGTTAACTCTATGCAACATCTTAAGCCACGTCTCAACCCAGCATCTTGTACTCTAACGCATGAGAGTGGGTAGAGGGCAACACTGAGCACAGAAGGTAAAGAAGTGTGTTACGGAGGGCACTTCCTGACTTGCTTCTTAAGTACTGATTCATGGAGGATTTCAAAGGTAGACAGACTGAGTAATATTCCATTGTATATATTACTCCGCCATAAAAAGAAACAAAATTGAGCTCTTTGTGGTGAGGTGGATGGACCTAGAGTCTGTCACACAGAGTGAAGTAAGTCAGAAAGAGAACGACAAATACCGTATGCTAACACATATATATGGAATTTAAGAAAAAAAAATGTCATGAGGAACCTAGGGGTAAGACAGGAATAAAGACTCAGACCTACTAGAGAATGGACTTGAGGATATGGGGAGGGGGAAGGGTAAGCTGTGACAAAGCGAGAGAGAGGCATGGACATATACACACTACCAAACGTAAGGTAGATAGCTAGTGGGAAGCAGCTGCATAGCACAGGGAG